GATCTCCGAATTGCCCTCCTAGAGGGAGCAGGAGTTGCCCAAGGCCTCAGTGCGAATCTCTCCCCTGGCCAGGAGAATCCACCAGCTCCGTGAAGCAGGAAGAGCTTCTGAATAGAGGGGATGGGGTCTCCAGGGGGAGAGGGCTGCCAAGAAGGCTCTGATTTGGGGGGGGGGGTTTCTTCATCTGGGGGAGACCTAAACCTTTGCTGAGCATCTGCCTCTCCTTTTCCCAGAGGTCACCCAAAGGAAGAGGAGTGGGAGGAAGAAGGAACGCCTCTTCCTCAGAACAGAGAAAGTAAGTAGCAACCTGAACAGGCCAGACTGAGAGCCCCACCCTCATATAATCTCTCTCTTGGGGGAAAAGGGCAGGGAAGCATGGGTCCTTTTTCCTTTCCATCCACTTGGTGGTGGATCAGGGAATCCCTGGGCGTGGCGCTAATACGTGTGTTGATGGGCCAAAGGGAGGGGGGGGGAGACTCTGCAAGACCCTTTGGAACCAGGAAGGTTGAGGTCTCTCTTTCTGTCTCTCTCTTCCAGCTCCCACACCCCCAGATCCTTAATCTGGAAAAGGACGAAGACGAAGTTTTAATTAATGAAGGTAACTTTCATACTAGCTTGACGATGTCATCTGGACGGTTCAACTGATGCTCATCCGCATGAAAATGGCTGCCTGGATGTAAGTAGGGATGCTGGGCTCTGGGGAACTTTCCCCATTTTGTGGCCAATTTCTCAGAGGAGGGGGATATTCCGCAGAGGAGGGGGGGAGCAGAAAGGAACAGCTCTCTTTCGGGGGTTTTTGCATGTTTTTTTCTTGCTTTGTAAGGAAAACAAGGGCAAGAGACCAAACAGTCAGCCTTCCAGTTTCTCCAGTCTGCCCTCAGACAAAAGTCACCTACGTTGTGGATATAATGCTGGTCAAGAGGGAGCCATGTGGTGAGTGGAGACTCTGGATCGGGCTCTTCCTGACCCCCCCAGCACCCCTTCTTCTGCAGCTCCTGCAGGTATCTCTGGGAGGGTCTGTCCTGGATCCCCAAATGGAGCTTGATCTCCGAATTGCCCTCCTAGAGGGAGCAGGAGTTGCCCAAGGCCTCAGTGCGAATCTCTCCCCTGGCCAGGAGAATCCACCAGCTCCGTGAAGCAGGAAGAGCTTCTGAATAGAGGGGATGGGGTCTCCAGGGGGAGAGGGCTGCCAAGAAGGCTCTGATTTGGGGGGGGTTTCTTCATCTGGGGGAGACCTAAACCTTTGCTGAGCATCTGCCTCTCCTTTTCCCAGAGGTCACCCAAAGGAAGAGGAGTGGGAGGAAGAAGGAGCCGCTCTTCCTAAGGACCGAGAAAGTAAGTAGCAACCTGAACAGGCCAAACTGAGAGCCCCACCCTCATATAATCTCTCTCTTGGGGGAAAAAGGGCAGGGAAGCATGGGTCCTGTTTCCTTTCCATCCACTTGGTGGTGGATCAGGGAATCCCTGGACGTGGCGCTAATACGTATCTCGATGGGCCAAAGGGAAGGGGGGGGAGACTCTGCAAGACCCTTTGGCACCAGGAAGGTTGAGGTCTCTCTTTCTGTCTCTCCCTTCCAGCTCCCACACACCCAGATCCTTAATCTGGAAAAGGAGGAAGATGAAGTTTTAATTAATGAAGGTAACTTTCATACTAGCTTGACGATGTCATCTGGACGGTTCAACTGACGCTCATCCGCATGAAAATGGCTGCCTGGATGTAAGTAGGGCTGCTGGGCTCTGGGGAACTTTCCCCATTTTGTGGCCAATTTCTCAGAGGAGGGGGATATTCCGCAGAGGAGGGGGGGAGCAGAAAGGAACAACTCTCTTCCAGGGCTTTTTGCATGTTTTTCTCTTGCTTTGTAAGGAAAACAAGGGCAAGAGACCAAACAGTCAGCCTTCCAGTTTCTCCAGTCTGCCCTCAGACAAAAGTCACCTACGTTGTGGATATAATGCTGGTCAAGAGGGAGCGTTGTGGTGAGTGGAGACTCTGGATCGGGCTCTTCCTGACCCCCCCAGCACCTTCTGCAGCTCCTGCAGGTATCTCTGGGAGGGTCTGTCCTGGATCCCCAAACGGAGATTGATCTCCGAATTGCCCTCCTAGAGGGAGCAGGAGTTACCTGAGGTCTGGCAACACAAAGGGAAGCAAAAGGGAAGCTGACCAAGAGCTGCATCAGGGGGTCTTGTTCAGTCAGCCAGCTTAGTGGAGCTTCCATAGAAGGAGGCAGTCTACAAGGAAAGAGCCAGGCCTTCTGTGCCAAAAGAGGAGAAACGGGCAGATTTGGTGATTTGTGGGTACGTTCCCAGAGACTTTGGGGCTAAAAGCCTTAGTTGAGTACTTTCCAATAGGTCTAACCGAGGTTAAAAGGGATGAGCTGGTTTCCGGAATCAAAGGGATTGTGGAAAGAAGGCTTTAGTTGGTCCCTTTCCTTACCTTCCTTTTTTTCTCTCTTCTAGGGATTTTTGCATGCGTTTTCCATGGTTTGCAAGGAAAACAAAGGCAGAAGACCAAAAAGTCGATGGTCAGATTTCTCCAGTCTGTCCCAGGACTCCAAGAAGAAAAATAACCTACATAGTCGAGATGAGTCTGGTCAAGAGGGAGCCGTGTGGTGAGTGGAGACTCTGCATCGGGCTCTTCCTGAAACCACCCCCCCAGCACCCCTCCGTGAAGCAGAAAGAGCTTCTGAATAGAGGGGATGGGGTCTCCAGGGGGAGAGGGCTGCGAAGAAGGCTCTGATTTGGGGAGGGGTTCTTCATCTGGGGGAGACCTAAAAGTTTGCTGAGCACCTGCCTCTCCTTGTCCCAGAGGTCACCAAAATGAAGAGGAGTGGGAGGAAGAATGAGCGCCTCTTCCTGAGAACTGAGAAAGTAAGTAGCAACCTGAAAAGGCCAAACTGAGAGCCCCACCCTCATATAATCTCTCTCTTGGGGGAAAAGGGCAGGGAAGCATGGGTCCTGTTTCCTTTCCATCCACTTGGTGGTGGATCAGGGAATCCCTGGACGTGGCGCTAATACGTGTCTCGATGGGCCAAAGGGAAGGGGGGGGGAAGACTCTGCAAGACCCTTTGGCACCAGGAAGGTTGAGGTCTCTCTTTCTGTCTCTCTCTTCCAGATCCTCAACATGGAGAAGGAGGAAGATGAAGTTTTAATCAATGAAGGTAACTTTCTTACTGATAATGTAATAAATGAAGATATTTATGGCTGGTCATTGTGTTAATATACAGAGGGTTTCCTTCCTTCTTTCCTTCATTTGTCCCACTTTTTTCTCCCCCAATGCAGGTGATTTGACTTTAGAAGACCTTTAAGTTCCTCCCCACCACCATCCCCCACCATCCTCCAAAGCCCCTGCAGGCAGGTTGAGGTCTCTCTTTCTGTCTCTCTCTTCCAGCTCCCGGAAGTCCAAATCTTAAATCTGAAGATGGATGAAAATGACGAAGTTTTGATTAATGAAGGTAATTTTCTTACTGGCTTGATGATGTCATCCGGACAGTCCAACTGATGGTCATCCACGTGAAAATGGCTGCCAAGATGTAAGTAGGGCTGCTGGGCTCTGGGGAACTTTCCCCATTTTGTGGCCAATTTCCCAGAGGAGGGGGATATTCTGCAGAGGAGCAGAAAGGAACAGCTGTCTGCAGGAGTCTAAATCTTTTCATTCTGGGATGAGAAGTGAAACCTCTTTAAAGGAAAATAAGAAAGTCCAGTTGCCTGGTGAAAAAAAGCATCTTTGGGATAATCCTCTTAGGAAAGGGGAACCAGGGTGGGGGAGGGGAGGAGGCAAATGGGTTCCAGTTTTATCTTTAGTTTCTTGTTGGGGTTAAAAGCCTTGGTTGAGTACTTTCCAATAGGTCTAACCAAGGTTAAAAGGGATGAGCTGGTTTCTGGAATCAAAGGGATTGTGGAAAGAAGGATTTAGTTGGTCCCTTTCTTTATGTTCCTTTTTTTCCTCTCTTCCAGGCCTTTTTGCATGTTGGGGTGTTTTCCTTGCTTCGCAAGGGAAAAAAAGGAAAAACACCCAAACCTGACACAGCAACAAAAACAAAGCAAGTCGCTCTGTAGAAATGCAGATTTGATAATCCCATTGAGAAAGTCTAAGGCCCCCATTCATGAGCAAATACTGCCTGCATAAACCCACTCAAGACAGGATCTTTCGAAATCCCTTGGAGCAAAACTGACAGCTAACAATAGCAGAGTGGTAGGATTAGAACTAGCATCCCCTCACCAAAAAAATACAACACAGGAAGTAAGCCATCAGCCATAGCCCCATGGAAGCAGGACATGACCTTTAGGATATAATAGGGTTAACCCACCACCATCAGAATACCAAAAGGGCACACTGAGCCTCAGGTCAAAGTTCATGCCACGGGAACAGGAACAACTCCAAAGACAAAAGCCCAAGAAGGTATAAAAACCCACCACTCCCAGCACCATGTGGTCAGCCACCCCAGAAACATGCTGCTATCACTGAAGTTTCTGGCAACTCAATAAACAAAAACCTTCTGTCAAAGCTGCTAACATTGCATGTTCTTGCTCTGAGAAAATATGCAGAGCTGTGTGGTATTTTTAGAGTTAACTCAGAAGACGCTGGGAGGGGAGGAGAAAGAATGTATGAGTTGCAAACGGAAGAGAACCGTTGCCTTTCAAACTAATTAGAGAACGTGAATCATGACAGCAAAATAAGGGAGGGAAAATAACCGCTCTGGGGTGGAGATTTCAGATCTTAGCATCCCTCTTCATGCCGTCACATGAATAAAAAGACTTTTTAGGATAAACAATGCCTGGAAGTTCTTAGACGTGTTTCATTAGTCGGAACCATGACACCTTCTTTCTTAAAGCAGTCTCCATTTTGTTTATTCCCGGCTTGGACTGGACCCTGATGAAGATTTTTCTTTCAACATAATGATATATCTTTAAATGTTTACATGCTTTTTAACAGCCTAGAAGCCTCAAACATTCTGAATTCCCTCAGAAAGCATTTATACTACCGTGGTGCCCACTCAACTCACACGCATCGTAAAACAGTCAAGTGCCAGGCTAGATAGCATTGCGTAAAAGCATTTATTGGTTTTAGCATATATATATATATTTCTGGTTCTCCAGAAGTTTCCAATAACACAGTTAGCTTTTTTTTTGTCCTGCTTCTCAAATGGTCCACTTGGCTGGTTATGGAATGGGATAGGAAGCATCGTTGGTGATGCCGCATGCATTGGATCCCTGTTCCAAGAGCATGTATCCGTTGTCCCCCCAATAGCGAGACCAACTGCAAAGAGAAGCATGCAAGAGATTTATTTCAAAACCGTGTAGGGCAGGGCCTGTTGGGAACTGGCCAAGCATGTGGCGGGTGAGCCCATGAAACCTTATTTGTGCATGCGCAGGAACTAGGTTGCACATGCGAAACCATTCCCCACCTTGCTGCTTCTGCTGCCGGTTCATGGGGCTAGAAAGGTTGGGGACTGCTGGAATAGGAATCATGCTGGCTGTGGAATTCTGGGAGTTGTAGTCTTCAAGTGGCCAAGACTGAGACATTCTGGAGTGGAGTGGAGTGGAGTGGAGTGGAGTAGAGTAGAGTAGAGTAGAGAATAGAATAGAATAGAATAGAATAGAATAGAATAGAATAGAATAGAGCAGAGTTGGAAGGGACCTTGGAGGTCATCTAATCCAACCCCTGCTCGGGGAGGAAACCCTATACCAGTGTTTCTCAACCTTGAGAATTTTAAGGCATGTGGACTTCAACTCCCAGAATTCCACAGCCAGCATTGCTGGCTGTGGAATTCTGGGAGTTGAAGTCCACATGCCTTAAAATGGTCAAGGTTGAGAAACACTGCCCTATACCATTTCAGACAAATGGCTGTCCAGTCTCTTCTTAAAAACTTCCAGTGTTGGAGCACCCACAACTCCTGGAGGCAAGTTGTTCCACTGGTTAATTGTTCTCACTGTCAGGAAATTTCTCCTTAGTTCTGGGCTGCTTCTCTCTTTGATGAGTTTCCATCTATGGCTTCTTGTCCTGCCTTCAGGCGCTTTGGAGAACAGCTTGACTCCCTCTTCTTTGGGGCAACCCCTGAGATATTGAAACGTTCCTATCATGTCCCCCCTCGTTCTTCTCTTCATTAAACTAGACATACCCAATTCCAGCAACCGTTCTTTGTATGTTTTAGCCTCCAGTCCCTTCATCAACTTTATTGCTCTTCTCTGCACTCTTTCTAGTGGCCATGGTTGTGACTCTCTGGAATAGTAGAAGTTGCCCTCTAATTAGCCTCCTGCCAGCATCTCCTTCTCTTCACTCACCTGTTCTTCACAATCCAGTACTTGGTGGTGCTGTTGTATCCGACCACCAGCACAGCATGATCCAAGTGGGGGTCTCCACGCCAGGGGTTTTTAAAGATACCTAGAGAAAGAGGAGGAGAAATCATACGGTAAAGCGAAAGCTCCGTGCTTCTTTGCCAGATCATCTGGATATTGAAATAATAGGAAATACGTGTAGCTCAGGATTTTAGATTTTGGCTGTGGTTTGTTTCTCCAAGCTTCTTTTAATATAATTCCTGAACGTTTCGTTAGCAAACTAGGTAACTCCATCAGCAGGAGCTGCAAGTATTTCCTGTTATTTCAAAATGATATGGGCGTAAACTTAAGGAGGCCTGATATTCCACCAAAGGAGCAGTTAACATTGATCTAGATCAGGGGTAGGCAACCTTGGCTCTTTTATGACTCGTGGACTTCAACTCCCAGAATTCCTGAGCCAGCCATGCTGAGGGGAAAGAGAGAGGTTTCCAAGCTGAGCCATGCTGGCTCAGGAATTCTGGGAGTTGAAGTCCATGAGTCATAAAAGAGCCAAGGTTGCCTACCCCTGGTGTAGGTGGTACCTGACTCAATAGCAGTAACTGTGAGAGGGATCTCGGAGTCCTAGTGGACAATCACTTAGATATGACAATCACTTAGTGATGTAGCTGCCAAAAAACACAACACTGTGCTAGGCTGCATTAACAGAGGGAGAGAATCCGGTTCTGGGTTGCGGCATATGCAGTCAGGCGGAGAGACTCCTCTCTTTGCTGGCTACTTTCCCTGGAGGGGCGACTACCGATGAGGAGGACTCTCGTCGATCGCGAGGGGAGGTGGCAGCTCCTTCCGCGGTCCGAGACAGCTCCTCAGGGCCGACGGAGAAAAGATCGGCCAGTAACATGGCTGATCATTTAGCTGCACCAGCCAAAAGTCAAAAGAACACCTAAGCGTTAAGAAACCACCGTGGATGATCCAGGTGAGACCTTTCCCTCTCTCTCTTTGCCATAACTACTTTCCTGTTAAAAGCCTTCTGGAATTATTTCCCTGCTTTGAAAGAGCTGCCTTTGCCTATCTGGGAAAAAGAGCTTTAACAAAAGAAAAAAAAAGTTAACTTTTTATTGACTATTTTTATTTTTGGTCACTTTGGGGCCCTGGAAAAATCCCTATCATAGAACTTTATTATTATATCTATTTTCTAAGCTGGAGAATATTGTTTTCCTATTTTTTGGATTTGTTTTTTTAAAGGGATAAATCTTTATTGTTTGGGGGGGGGGGAAACTTTACTGGAAGCCGGAAAACAGATTTCACAGCTTGCTGAGGGCATCTTGTGGCGAAAACTATTACTGCAACTACATTTCCTCTTTGTTTTTTGAGGTTGGATTTGACCTTCAAAATGATGATGAAAGTGAAAAGATAAAGGATTTGAAACAGCTGGGTGGTGAAGTTGCTTACACTAGTAAGCAACTTCACCACCCAGCTGTTTCAAATCCTTTATTTGTGGAGGTGGATAAGTGCTGACTGTTTGTATGTGTTGACTGTTAGTAAATATAGCCTCCTTTAAAAAAGTAAAAGACTATCTCACCACTGAAATGGAGGAATTTCATCCACAGCTTGATTATGAACTTATATTAGAAGCAATTTTGGAAGCAACAGTATATATGAAATCCTGGAGAAACATTAAAGATGACATCTCTGAACCACAAATTGAATCTCAAATCCTAATGGATCAATCTACAGGTCAAGGAACTAGCTCTAGAGAGGTCTGTATGCAGCAATATACACAACTTAAAGAGACAGAGGAACAAGTCACTGAGCGAATGGATGTTAATCTACAATTTATGGAGAATTTTGAAGATCAAAGACCGACTCTAACTGAGACACTTGCAGTGTTAAAAGTAATAGGAACTGACTCTCGGATACGAATTATTGAGAATAGTGACATCGTGGATAATCAACTTGTGACTATAACACGGAAACAAACTGTCTACACTATACAGATGACATTGGAAGAAGGGAAAGAGAATTTGACACAGATTGAAGTATTGATAAGTACCCTCACTCAAATATTGAGACTCAACGCATAGAAGCTCTATTATGGAAACCGGATTGGCACAGAAAGAAAGCTAGAGTTAGATTTAAAAATGTGATTTAAAACTTTACTTGACGGGTAAATAAGGCTTTAGAGATCTTGACTGAATAAAGATTAATCAAATATGTGAACTTAGTAAGAAGATGTTTTTCTGTATTAATATGCTTGTTGTGTATATAACAATTATTTGGATCGGATTTAAACTTTATTGAGTGGGTTAAAAGAGTTTTTCATAGATATAGATTGATTGATAGATTATAGGTTTCAAATAGAGTAGAAATGTATTTTTGGAGTAATATTCTTATTTCTAGGAAGGATAGCTATTTTGTAATGGAAGGAGAATAAGGGGGATTTCTGATAAAAGAAGAAATGGTATTAATAAATGAGTTACTAGATTAAAAAATAGAATACTTGTAGAAAATATAAGAATGTTATGGTTGAAATAATATGTGTATTTTAGAGATAAGGATTATGCTAAGGAAAAAGGAAAAGGAGGGACAGCTGAAGTGTTAATAATATGTTTCTCTAAAAGCCAAATTGGAATATGGTAATTGTAAATAGTAAAGCTTAAAAACAGGATTTGGATTTATACAGATGAAATCTTATTGATGATTGTTCTGATTGATTGAATTTTATTGAAAAATACATTAATTTGAATATATTATATTATTTGAGGGAAATAGAGGGAGTTTCTAATGATTTAACCTGAGTTGTATATGTATGGTTTTCTTTTTGGATGATTGATTACCCCATCACCACGTTGTACCCCAAGCACCCTGTTGTAAAAATAAAAAAAAATCAATAAAACTTGTTTAAAAAAAAAAAAACAGAGGTAGAGAATCCAGATCACCTGAAGTGTTAATACCACTTTACAAGGCCTTAGTAAGGCCACACTTGGACTACAGCATCCAGTTTTGGTCACCACAATGTAAAAAACATGTTGAGACTCTGGAAAGAGTGCAGAGAAGGGCAACAAAGATAATTAGGGGACTCGAGGCTAAAACATATAAGGAACGGTTGCTGGAATTGGGTACGTCTAGTTTAATGAAAAAAGGACAAGGGGGGACATGATAGCAGTCTTCCAATATCTCAGGGGCTGCCCCAAAGAAGAGGGAGTCAAGCTATTCTCCAAAGCACCTGAAGGCAGGAGAAGAAGCAACGGATGGAAACTAATCAAAGAAAGAAGCAATCTAGAACTAAGGAGAAACTTCCTGACAGTCAGAACAATTAACCAGTGGAACCACCTGCCTCCAGAAGCTGTGAATGCTCCAACACTGGAAGTTTTTAAGAAGAGACTGGACAGCCATTTGTCCGAAATGATATAGGGCAGTGGTGGCGAACCTATGGCACGCGTGCCAAAGGTTGCACGCGGAGCCCTCCCTGTGGGCACATGCCATCGCCCCAGCACATGTGGTCTCTAAAGGTTCGCCATCACTGGCCTAAGGCCAGCCAGCCTGGAGCCGTCATTGGGGAGCCCACCATCTCATCCACCAGAGACCCCCTGGATCTCCCCGAACAATGCCCGGCCCCGAACAGTGTCCCTCCCCATAAGCAACATCGAGGTGGCCACGCCCACCCAGGCCATGCCCACCCAGTCTGCCATGACTACTGCAGCCACACCCATCCAGTGGCCATGCCCACCCAATCTGCCACACCCACTGTAACTGTGCCTGCCAAGTGGGCCACACCCACCCGGTACCTGGCGATATATAAGTGGGTTTTGGGTTGCAGTTTGGGCACTCGGTCTCTAAAAGGTTCACCATCACTGATATAGGGTTTCCTGCCTGAGCAGGGGGTTGGACTAGAAGACCTCCAAGGTCCCGTCCAACTCTGTTATTCTATTCTATTCTGTTCTGTTCTGTTCTGTTCTATTATCAATAAAGATTCTATTCTATTCTATTCTATTCTATTCTATTCTATTCTATTCTATTCTATTCGATTCGATTCGATTCGATTCGATTCGATTCCTATTCTCAATAAAGATTCTATTCTATTCTATTCTATTCTATTCTATTCTATTCTATTCTATTCTATTCTATTCTATTCTATTCTTCCAATCAAAGTCACCATACGAACATTCAAAGTTCACGTGCAAGGGGTCCCATTTTCTATTCCACAGGAACCTTACCCGACTTGTAAAAATGAAACGCCGAACTCCGGGCATCCACTCCGACAGAAATTGGGCCAATTGTGGCCACCGCCTGCAGAAGTCCCTTTTCATCTCCTGGCAGGATGACTCCTATGGCGGAACACTTAGTAACAGAATTCAAGGCTTCATAACGACAACTATAATTATCCTGTAGAAAAATAAAAGTGTAATCATAATTAGTCCCAGAGAAAATAGAGTTTCCTGCCTGAGCAGGGGGTTGGACTAGAAGACCTCCAAGGTCTATTCTATTCTATTCTATTCTATTCTATTCTATTCTATTCTATCCAGTAATTCATATTCTATTCCATTCCATTCCATTCCATTCCATTCCATTCCATTCTATTCTATTCTATTCTATTCTATTCTATTCTATTCTATTCTATTCTATTCTATTCTATTCTATTCTATTCTACACCACTCTCCAGTCTACTCTATTCAACCCAACTCAACCCAACTATAGTTTGAAGAATGCACAGGAACCCACAGAGAATTACCTGTCCATCATATGGGTAGCTTTCCTCTGAATTGATCCCTCCTTGCTTCTGCACATATGTAAAAGCTTCTGGCATAAATCCACCCTCGCAACCTTCAGTCCCCTGGTCCTTAGAGCAGTCGATAAGATTTTGTTCGCTCAGAGAGACCAACTTCCCCGTCTTCTTGAAATGCATGCCTTCCAGAGCGCCGACGGCACTGAAGGACCAGCAGGAGCCACAGGCGCCCTGGGTAAAAAACAAAGCTGCAATGATCCACCAAGGAACAGAAAACTCGAAATATCTTCCTTTAACCAGTTCCTTGTTCTCGGTTCTTGGTCGGAGGCAGGTGGGCAAAATCTCAGTTCCGACAGAAGAGAATATCTGTAGCTCAGGGTAGAACTGTGGGGTCCCGGGTGCTCTCTGAGCTTGGTTGGGTTCTTGGAGATGTTTCATGACCCAACTAGGTAACATCATCAGTGTTAGTGTGGGGAGTGCAGGGGGGGGAGGAGGAGGAGGAGGAGGAGGAGGAGGAGGTGGTGGTGGAGGAGGAGGAGGAGGACTGTGGGGTCCTGGGTGCTCTCTGAGCTTGGCTGTTTTTTGCAGACATTTCATGACCCAACTAGGTAACATCATCAGTGCGAGAAGAGAGTGTGGTTTGCAGAGAGGAGGAGGAGGAGGAGGAGGAGGAGGAGGAGGAGGAGGAGGAGGAAGAGGAAGAGGAGGAGGAGGAGGGTGATGACCACGGCATCTTTTGTACTCTCTGAGCTTGGTGGTTTTCTTGCAAGCATCTCATTACCCAACTAGGTAACACCATCAGTGCTAGAAGGGAATGTGGGGTTTGTTCTCTTTTGATATACGGGAGTTGTGACAAAACTGAAGCTTCAGAAATGCAGTTAACGGAGGAAAGAATTTAGCTTCGTCTGCAAGATTTCATAAATCCACTAAATTCCGACTGGAATTGCAAATGGGCAGATCAGACCCCTCCCCTCCTTTTCCTTAAAAGCCCCTCTGCCTCCCTCCTCCATTCCTGGCTGGTCAGAGCCCCCCACCCCCCCAGGCCCTTCAGCACCCACCTGATCTTTGACCTCAGTCACGGCCCCTTTGGCTCGCCAGTCCAGCCCGGGGGGAACCTGCAGGTCTTCAGAGGGCTTGAAGGGGACGGCGTTCTTGAGAGCTGCCCGATCCGAGTCAGGAAGGAAACATTTCAGCCTCTGGTTAATCTCTTCATGGGTCTGGGGGTTGCAAAAGACATGGAGCTCAAACCTCAGTGGCTGGAGGCAGCCTGGCCTAGTGGTTAAGGCGCCAGGCCAGAAAGAAGAAAACTGTCCGTTCTAGTCCCGCCTTAGGCATGAAAACCGGCTGGATGACCTTGGGCTAGTTTACTAGGAGACGGTGAGTTCTAGTCCTGCCTTAGGCATGAAAACCGGCTGGGTGACTTTGGGCCAGCCCGTCTCCTTCAGCCCCACCCACCCCACAGGGTTGTTGTTGGGAAAATGGGCCACAGGGTTGTTGTTGGGAAAATGGGAGGGGAAATTTATCTTGGGGATGTTCACCACCTTGAATGATTTGCAGAAAAAGAGATAAAGGGAGGATATAATCAATTAATTGAATTCATGAATTGCCCAGAGTCATTGACTGAGATGGCGGGAGTGAAGGAATGAAACAACTATAGAAACTAAGCAAACCGACATCTATGTCCATTGAATAAATAAAACTAGCCTTGATCCACACGTACCAGGTCACCAAAGTGATTCATCCCGAGTTTGTAGGTGTGTTTTCCCTGCTCAGCCTGGCTGTTGTGGTCCTGGATCATCCTCAGATTCTCCTCCCACACGGCTCTCCGAAAGGATTCTTCCCCCTGATGGGCAGCCAGGATGAAGAAGATCTATTTTAGTCCCATTGTCTAAGCACCTAGTGCAGGGGTAGGCAACCCAAAACACTCAAAGAGCCACTTGGACCCATTTCCCACCGAAAACAAAACACTGGGAGCCGCAAAACCCTTTCGATATCTAAAATGAAGATAACACGGCATATATCCTTTTTTACCTTTAGTGTGTGTGTGTGTGTGTGTGTGTGTGTGATAGAATGCCCAGAACAGAATTCCAGCACCTTTTTTGGATGGAACCTTGTAGGGTATGTAGGCAAGGCGGGTTGTATGACATGTGTGAGTTCTGGCACCTTTTTTTTTTTTAACAAAAAAGCACTGTATATATAAAATAAAGGTAAAAAAGGATATATGCAGTGTTATCTTCATTTTAGATGTCAAAAGGGTCTGTGTGTGTGTGTGTGTGTCCCTCTCTTTCCTCTCTCTCCCTCTTTCCTCTCCCTCTCTCTTTCTCTCTCTTTCCTCTCTCTTTCTCTTTCCCCTCTCTCTCACTCTTTCCTCTCTCTTTCTCTCTCTTTCCTCTCTTTTTCTCTCTTTTCTCTCCCCCTCTCGTTCTCTTTCTCTCTTTCTCTCTCTCTCCCTTTCTCTCCCTCTTTCTCTTTCCTCTCTCTTTCTCTCTCTCTTTCCTCTCTCTCTCTTTCCTCTCTCTTTTCCTCTCTCTTTCCTCTTTCTCTCCCTCTCTCTTTCTCTCTTTCCTCTCCCTCTCTCTTTCCTCTCCCTCTTTTTCTCTTTCCTCTCCCCCTCTCTCTTTCTTTCTCTCTTTCCTCTCCCTCTCTTTATCTCCCTCTTTCCTCTCTCTTTTTCTCTCTCTCTTTCTCTTTCCTCTCTCTCTCACTCTTTCCTCTCTCCTTCTCTCTTTCCTCTCTTTTTCTCTCTTTCCTCTCCCCCTCTAGTTCTCTTTCTCTCTCTGTCTCCCTTTCTCTCCCTCTTTCTCTTTCATCTCTCTTTCTCTCTCTCTTTCTCTCTCTCTTTCCTCTCTCTCTCTCTTTCCTCTCTCTTTTCCTCTCTCTTTCCTCTTTCTCTCCCTCTCTCTTTCTCTCTTTCCTCTCCCTCTCTCTTTCCTCTCCCTCTCTTTCTCTTTCCTCTCCCCCTCTCTCTTTCTTTCTCTCTTTCCTCTCCCTCTCTTTATCTCCCTCTTTCCTCTCTCTTTTTCTCTTTCTCTTTCTCTTTCCTCTCTCTTTCTTTCCCCCCTCTCTCTTTCCTCTCTCTTTTTCCTCTCTCTCTCTTTTTCCTCTCTTTCTCTTTCCTCTTTCTCTCTTTCTCTCTCTTTCTCTCTCCAGGTGAAAAGAGAGAGAGAACGAAAGGCAGACGGCGACGATTCGTTATATAAAGGGTGAAACGAGCAGAGCAGATAGCTGGCGGCTGCAGCCCAAGGGCCGCCATGTGAGGCCAGCCCGCGGGGGAAGAGTGAGAGGGTGACTTCTTCCACGCGGGCAGGTTAGCCGGACTGAGGAGGACGCCCCTGAGGCGAACAATGGTGGCGGCATCAGCGGGAAGGGGGCCCTAGCTCGCCTCAACCTGCTCTTGTCCGGAGGGTGCTGTTCGGGGGCGCCCTGCCTTGGGGTGTGTCCTACCCAGGGGTGGTGCGGGACATGGCGAGCTCGACTAACACAAACCCCGTGCCTAAATTGTACAGGTCTGTGATTGACGATGTCATTAATGATGTCCGAGAAGTCTTTCTGGATGCAAGTGTGGATGAGCAAGTCCTCGTGGAACTTAAAACACTACGGGAAAACCAATTACTGCAATCCAAAGCTGTATATGGATTTCATTCAGACACTCAGCAGTGTTTCTCAGCCTTGACCATTTTAAGGCATGTGGACTTCAACTCCCAGAATTCCACAGCCAGCAATGCTGGCTGTGGAATTCTGGGAGTTGAAGTCCACACGCCTTAAAATGGTCAAGGTTGAGAAACACTGATTCCAGAGGAACAGCAACGTTTACTGTGAGGACAGCAACAACAGCAGCAGCGGCAGCAACAGCATTCCCATCCTCATCATAAATGTTGATCCTGGTACCAAAAGATCTCATTCGTATTTTAAATGTAACAATGCTGAACATTTTATTTAAAAGGAGGTTGTGCTTTAAAGTAGCCTAGGGATGAAAGTGATAAAAAGCACCATCTCCTTTTGCTCTCTTAAATTATAATTTTTTTTTAAAAAATGAAAGGCAGATGCTGCTGAAGGGGCGGGGAGAGGGAGCAGGACGGGAGACAGCAGCTCCGGTGGCGGCACGGGGACGCTGCTCTCCCTGCAGCGCGGGTGGCCACGCTGGCAACAGGGAGTGCCGCCACGAGGATGAGCGGGGTCCTGACCTGCCACCGGCCTCGCAGCCCAAGGTCTCCTTCTCCTGCAGTACCGAGGGCGGCGACAGTGACAGCGGCTCCCCGAAAGTAGCCGAGGAAGGCGCCACCAATGGGGCTGAGGTGGGGCTGGGTGGTGGAGAGCCCCGCGGCAGCGGGAGGATGGCGAAGGGGCATGGCTGCCCAGCCGCTGCTGCTTCTCCAGCCTCGTCCAATGCAAAGGGCAGAGGGCAGCAGCAGCAGGAGGATGGCGAAGGGGTGTGGCTGCCCATCCGCTGCCGCCTCACCGGCCTCACCCAGCGCGAAGGGCAGAGGTGATGGCAGCAGCAGTGGGAGGACGGCCAAGAGGCGCCGCGCAGCAGGTGGGGAAAGGACCGGGCAGGCGCCAAGGGGGAATCTCTCGAAAGAGGTCACAGAGATCCGCTGCCCACGAGATGGCCGAAAGGCGCAGATGGAGAGAGAAACTACCGAGCCCCCTGGCAACCCCCCCCCCGGATTAACAGAGGTGGCAGCAGAGCAGGGCGAGGGGAGACCCGCCGGGCAGGGAAGAGGCATCCTGAGACTGGCCACCTGCAGCTCCTTACCTTACCAACAATCCTCCCGGCTTTTCCTCCGCTGCCACCACGTGCAGTCCGAAGAAGGAAAGAGGTTTGTGGGCAGTCCCACAAACCAAAGAAGTTCAACCAATCAATTCAAACTTCCTCAGAAGTTTGAATTGATTGGTTGAACTTTTTTAGTCCCACTATTTTTTTTCAGACTGCACATGGTGGCTGAGGACAGGGAGCCATAGGAGATGGCTGAAAGAGCCGCATGTGGCTCCGGAGCTGCGGGTTGCCGACCCGTGACCTAGTGGCACCTAGTGGCAGGCCTAGAACGAGGGTTCTTCCCTTCCACAAATTTGCAAGTGACACTAAGCTGACAGGAATAGCCAACAGCCCAGAAGACAAGCTCAGGATCCAAAAAGATCTTGACGAACTTGAACAATGGGCCCTATCCAACAAAATTAGTTTTAAGGTGGAGAAAAGCAAAGTTTTACATTTAGGCAGGAAAAAACATAGGTACAAGGACAGATTAGGCGAGACCTGGCTGAAAAACAGTCACTGTGAGAGGGACCTTGGGGTCCTAGTGGACGATCACTTAAACATGAGCCAACCATATGCGGCAGCAGCCAAAAAAGCTAATACAATCCTGGGTTGTATAAACAGAGGTGTTGAAGGAAAAGTCTGCATCATGGTTCAGTCCAAGCCGGGAATAAACAACATGGCGACTGCTTTAGAAAGAAGGTTGCAGTTTATTGAAGAGGAGAGCCAGACAGAAAGATGGCTATGAAAGAAAAGAGTGAGCACATGTAGGGAGTGGGTTTTTATACCCTCTGGAGCCTTTTGTTTGGAGTTGTTCCTGTGGCATGAACTTTGACCTGAGTCTGAGTGTGTCCTTTGGTATCTGTGGGTTAATCCTATTATGTCCTGTCTTAGACTTTGGGTGGGGTATGTAGATTTTAGGTGTCTTTGTCTTCTTAATTTTCTAGCTGGAGGCTTCCAACCTTCCTGGATTATTTACATCTGCATTTCTACAGAGCTGGATTCTGCTCGGGGGAGGGAGACTTGGGGCTATTAAGAAAAAAACTGGGTGTGCTTTTCTGCCTCTTTAAGATCCTTTGAGGGAAATATATTTTTCTGCCCTTTTAATAGTTCCTTCTCTGGGGGTGGGGGCTGACTTCCCACAGAGGCCTAGAATCAAGATCACGCAAAGCGTTAGTACCGGTTTATAAAACTCTAGGGAGACCACCCCTGGAATACTGCAACCAATTTTGGTCACCAAGCTACAAAAAAGATGTTGAGACTTTGGAAAAAGTTCAGAGAAGGCAATTAAGGTGATCCAAGGCCTGGAGACTAAAACATACGAAGAACGTTTGAAGGATCTGGGTTTGGCTAATCCAGAGAAAAGAAGGATTCGGGGAGACATGACAGCAGTCTTCCAGTCTTTGAGGGGTTGCCACAAAGAAGAAGAGGGGGTCAACTTATTTTCCAGAGCACCAGAAGGCAAGACAAGAAACCATGGTTGGAAACGTCTATGGAGATTCTCAGTCATCCAGGTTACAGTTGTCCCAAAGATGCTTTTTCATGAGATGGTTGGACTTCCTTGTTTTTCTTTGAAGATGTTTCGCTTCTCTCCAAGAAGCTTAAGAGAGCTGAAGAAGCTTCTTGGATGAGAAGCGAGACGCCTTCAAAGAAAAAACAAGGAAGTCCAAATTGCCTCCTGAAAAAGCATCTTTGGGACAATGGCTGGAAACCAATCAAGGGGAGAAGCAACCTGGAATTAAGGAGAAACCTCCCAACAGTGAGGACAATTCACCCGTGGAACAGCTTGCCTCCAGACGTTGTGGGTGCTCCATCACTGGAAGCTTTTAAGAAAAGACTAGACAGTCACCTGTCTGAAACGGTAGAGGATCTCCTGCTTGAGCAGGGGGTTGGACTAGGAGACCTTCCAAGGTCCCTTCCAACTCTTGTTATTCTGTAATTCTGTAATTCTATTCTCCAAAGCACCTGAAGGCAGGACAAGAAGTGACAGATGGAAACTAATTAAGGAGAGATTGATTTGAGTTCTAGTGGAGCAAACTTACCAGGCCATATTCCTTACTGTGAGTGGCCTTCCAGTCTCTCCATGTCTCCTCCAGGGTCGGATCCAGCGCTGTGGACAAGGTCCTCAGGGAGACCAACCAGACCAGCACCCAGGTGGACAACATTGCCTTTCTCTAGGAGAAGGAAGAGAATTGAAGAACGCAAAGAACAGCGACAATGGGGCATGCATGCTAGGAGTTGCAGGCCAGCAAGACCTAGTTGGCTACAGGGTCCCCATCCCTGACTTTGAAGGATATAACAATTCTATATAAATTGCTGCCAATACATACATGGACCAGATGAGAACCCTGGAAATATTTGGAGACTCTAGTCTAATTGGACTCTAATTGGAATTGGGTATGTTCGGTTTAAGGAAGAGAAGGACAGAATATCAATCTTCAAATATCTCAGGGGTGGCCCCAAAGAAGAGGGAGCCAAGCTATTCTCCAAAGCGCCTGAAGGCAGGACAAGAAGCAACGGGTGGAAACTAACCAAAGAGAGAAGCAACCTAGAACTAAGGAGGAATTTCCTGACAGTGAGAACAATTGATCAGGGGAACTCCTTGCCTCCAGAAGTTGTGAATGCTCCAACACTGGAGGTTTTTAAGAAGAGACTGGACAGCCATTTGTCTGAAATGGTATAGGGTTTCCTACCTGAGCAGGGGGTTGGACTAGAAGACCTCCAAGGTCCTATTCTATTCTATTCTATTCTATTCTATTCTATTCTATTCTATTCTATTCTATTCTGTTCTGTTCTGTTCTGTTCTGTTCTGTTTTATTCTACTCTACTCTACTCTACTCTACTCTACTCTACTCTACTCTACTCTATACTCTACTCTACTCTACTCTATTCTATATTCTATTTTATATTTATTCTATATTCTATTCTCTATTCTATTCTATTCTATTCTATATTCTCTTCTCTTCTCTTATTTCAATTCTAACTGGAGAAATAAAGTATGGCTTTGTGTAAGAACTACACAGAGGGAACCTTAGCAAGAAAACGGAGACCTCACCTCAAGCAGGGCTGTCCCACGGAAGGCGAAGAATCAGTTGTGAAACAAAAATACAGCTGGCCTTTTATACCAAGGCAGGCAACCCAAAACTGCCACCTCCCACTGCATTTAACGGACTCCTGCAAGGGAATTGCCACCTCATCTCTCCGTTATCTTCAGACAGCAATTTTTTTTTCGCTTAAATAAGATAATCCTTTTTTTTAAATCTCTCTCTCTCTCTTTGTCTTCTTATGCTGGGAATGTGACCCTCCACAGCTGCCCCAAGGCCACTGATGGAACTGCTGATCTGATCTGTATCTCCTATTTCTGGACACTTCCCTGGCTTTCTGTGGTTGCAACCGTTTTAATGTCCAAAGACGATAAATGTTTGATTTCTATCTCGCTTCTCGGTCTATCTTGCTCCTTCCAAAAAGCACGTTCTTCTCCATCCTGCTTTTCCCCCCAAGCAGGAGATTCAAAGTCAACTGCAGCTGTGACTAACTCTCTCTCTGTGTGCGTGGGAGGTGTGTGAATTGTGGGTCCATCTTTATTTGTGCAACGGTCACATTGAGTTCTCCCACCTTGAGAACCGTTTATTACTGCTCACNCTGCTCACGCTAAAATGGTGATGATTTGGTGTTTATTTTCCAGACGTGGGTTCTCCGTGCAATTTCGGCAGACCTAACATAGGAGGTCCCCAACTTACGACCACAATTGCACCCAAAATGTACGTTGCTAAGTGAGACACTGGTTAATTGAGTTTTGCCCCATTTTATAATCTTTCTCGCCACATAACAACACAGTGCTGGGCTGCATTAACAGAGGGATAGAATCAAGATCACGTGTAGTATTAATACCACTTTACAATGCCTTAGTAAGGCCACACTTGGAATACTGCATCCAGTTTTGGTCACCGCGATGTAAAAAAGATGTTGAGACTCTAGAAAGAGTACAGAGAAGAGCAACAAAGATGATCAGGGGACTGGAGGCCAAAGCACATAAGGAAAGGCTGCTGGAATTGGGTATGTCTAGTTTAACGAAGAGAAGGACGAGGGGGGACATGATAGCAGTGTTCCAATATCTCAGGGGCTGCCACAAAGAAGAGGGAGTCAAGCTATTTTCCAAGGTGCCTGAAGGCAGGACAAGAAGCAACTGGTGGAAATTAAGCAAGGAGAGAAGCAACCTAGAACTAAGGAGAAACTTCCTGACAGTTAAAACAATTAACCAGTGGAACAACCTGCCTCCAGAAGCTGTGAATGTTCCAACACTGGAAGTTTTTAAGAAGAGACTGGACAGCCATTTGTATGAAATGGTATAGGGTTTCCTGCCTGAGCAGGGGGTTGGACTAGATGACTTCCAAGGTCCATTCTAACTTTATTATTATTATTATTATTATTATTATTATTATTATTATTATTATTATTATTATTATTATTATTATTATTATTATTATTATTATTATTATTATATGTATGTCTAGTTTAACGGAGAGAAGGAGGAGGGGGGGACATGATAGCAGTGTTCCAGTATCTCAGGGGCTGCCCCAAAGAAGAGGGAGTCAAGCTATTGTCCAAAGCGCCTGAAGTCAGGACAAGAAGCAATGGATGGAAACTCATCAAGGAGAGAAGCAACCTAGAACTAAGGAGAAACTTCCTGACAGTTAGAACAAGTAATCAATGGAACAACTTATAATAATAATAATAATAATAATAATAATAATAATAATAATAATAATAATAATAATAATAATAATAATAATAATAATAATAATAATGATAAAGTTGGAAGGGATCTTGGAGGTCATCTAGTCCAAACCCCTGCCCAGGCAGGAACCCTACACCATTTCAGACAAACAGCTGTCCAGTTTCTTCTTAAAAACTTCCAGTGTTGGCGCATTCACCACTTCTGGAGGCAGGTTGTTCCATTGGTTAATTGTTCTAACTGTCAGGAAGTTTCTCCTAGGTTGCTTCTCTCCTTGACTAGTTTCCATCCGTTGCTTCTTGTCCTGCCTTCAGGCGCCTTGGAGAATAGCTTGACTCCCTCTTCTTTGTGGCAGCCCCTGAGATATTGGAACACTGCTATCATGTCCCCCCTCGTCCTTCTCTTCGTTAAACTAGACATACCCAATTCCAGCAACCGTTCCTTATATGTTTTAGCCCCCAATCCCCTAATCATCTTTGTTGCTCTTCTCTGTACTCTTTCTAGAGTCTCAGCATCTTTTTTACATCGTGGTGACCAAAACTGGATGCAGGATTCCAAGTGTGGCCTTACCAAGGCCTTGTAAAGTGGTATTAATACTACACGTGATCTTGATTCTATCCCTCTGTTAATGCAGCCTAGCACTGCGTTGACTTTTTTGGCAGCTGCAGCACACGGCTGGCTCATATTTAAATGATTGCCCACTAGGACTCCGAGATCCCTCTCACAGTTACTACTATTGAGCAAGGTACC